ACGACTAAAATAATCATGACCGGCACCTACTAAAAAGGCGGTGTTGTTTCATCCGAATCAAATAGAACGTTCTGCCTCGAGAATGCCAGGCTCGCTGTGCGTAGCGCACCACCGCGTATGCGATTGTATGCGTGCTAACCATATCGTCACCGCGAGCTTCTTGAGCCGTTTGCGGATTATGGCCGGTGCGACATACACGCGAGCAGGAGACCGTGAACTTCTCGCACCACGTACCCGCCACGACCCCATGAAAATCCTGCAGGTGCTGTGGTCAGGTATGCATGAACCTGTCTGCTCCCACAGCTCAAATACAGTCAGTAGATAGGAGTTTAAATAATAAGAATAATAACAATAAACAATAATAAGAATAATAATAAAAAGAAGAAAGAAGAAGATGATCGATGATGATGATGAATGATGATGATGATGATTTGATGATGATGATGGATGATGATGATGATGATAATGAATGATTTGATGATGACTTAAATATAATAACAAAAAACTAAACGCGTTTGCGAGCCTAGGGCGCCGTTGTCTGAAACATCGTAAAGCATACATCGGCTGATGTTGCATATTAAAGATAGCACTAACGACTAATATGTTACGACAGTTAATTTAAGACTAATGTTAGACCCCCTGATATGAAACATTCTCACAAGGGCCTTCCACACATTTTGCCAAGCGCGCCGGTAGTTCGAAGGAAAATTGTGATATATATGTACTATTGGTATATCTGTTTTACTATATATATATATATATATATAAGTTAACAGCACACACGAACACCCGGTTAGATTAAAAACAAAGTCAAGGTATAGAATAAGAGTGTTTAAAATTTAATTGACAAGCTTTCGAGATTACATCTGCTGACCTGATGAAGACCTGATGATTTCAGCACTGTTACGCCGGAAGTGACGTGAATATGCTTTGAACCGTAATTCCATTCATACCGTATTCGTTGCCAACTCTTGAACTCTGAAGCTGTATTTGTTTAAGCTCTTAGGGCATTAACGTATCGCCAGAACGCCGTGTACGATTCCGCCGATAAGAGAACTTGTAGAAGAAGTACTGTCAAATTTCTAAGGTCGAGGTTCTTTTCGTCGAAGTTTATTTCTAACATCGAGGTTTACGTTTCCTTATTGTTTTCATACTGTAAGGCGGATCAATTGTGAGTCATACCTACCCTAACACTGCATGCGAGATATGGTCAAGCTTGCGACAGGTATACCCGTATATACAGCTAAGCTAATCGAACTGACGGAATGTAAAAAGGTCACTTGCCTACGGGCACGCGGAAAAATAGTGATTTCCTGAGAAAAACTACAGCGTCGTTGTTTGACGTGTTCCCGCCTCATGATCTACAATAGCCTTCATATTACGATGCACGCGTAAACTATATATTTGAAATGTATCGCGGATTCATTGTTTGACACGCATTCATGCAAAATATAGTTTTATTGTAAGATTTCTTTATGCAACCGTATCGCCTTCGATTTTAAAAAGGCTATATATATATATATCGATAAAAACAAAGTCAAATTATAGAATAAGGGTGTTTAAAATTTAATTAACAAGCTTTCGAGATTACATCTCTTCATCAGGTCAGCCGACATTGGAATAGAACCGTAATAAAAATACAATGCGTTATAGATAATGAAAAAGGAATAATTCAAACAAATCGTGCGTTGCCATGAACACGGATGACGAAAGAACACACAGATTCACACACACACACACACACACACACACACACACACACACACACACAACACACACACACACACACACACACACACCACGCGCGCGCGCACGCACGCACGCACGCACGCACGCACGCACGCACGCACCGCACGCACGCACGCACGCACGCACGCACGCAGCATACACCACACACACACACACACACACACACACACACACACACACACACACACACACTATAAAAATAGGTATTATTAGCTCCGCTATAATATATATACGTAATGTGCGCGAAAATAAGTCGGCGACCTTGGTGTTAAAGAAGTATCTGCTCTGCTGTCCCCCTGTTTGAGATTAACAACACTGGCTCCGAGAACTGCGACCTGCATGTAGATCAGTGGGTGAAAACCTGTTTTGACAGTGCGAGTTGTTTGTAAATACGCGTGTATGTGATGACGGACGTAATTTTAACCGTGAAATAATCGAAAAGCGGCAAAAGGAGAGGTATGCAGTAGTAACAAATCAACTCATGACACCTGTTCTATGAGGCTGTGATCGCATGTGTATGTTTATCGCATAATAAAATGATGGAATCGCTATAATTATATCGATATAGGACATGCACCGTGCAATACACACAGCATATTATCTGCCCTAGTATTTATGTATTGATAGCTCATATCTCTCTCTCTCTCTCTCTCTCTTCTCCTCTCTCTCTCTCCTCTCTCTCTTCTCTCTCGTCTCTCCCTCTCTCTCAACCCATCTATCTATCAATGCGATCATAATATTCTAGCTGCATATATGATATATATATATATATATCAAGGCCGTAGGCTGAGCAAATTCTTAGGAGGGGAGCAAAATTTCGAATGACTCGAATGTGTAATGATGAGGGACGGGCTCAGCTCTTGATCGACGTCCATAGTGGGATAGGGGTTGGTATGAGACAAGGCTTTCACGGATAAGTGACCAAAAAAATTACGTTAGGGTTATTTATGATTATAAGCTAAGCTTATTTTTTAATGTTGCTTCAAAATCTAAGGGGCAGTTGCCCCCATTGCCCCCCCCCCCACACACACACACACAGAGCCCGAGAGGCTACGGCCCTGTATATTGCGCTTGCTCGCTTACCCTCCCTTATCTATCTAGACGTATTTATTTCTTCCCGATCGTTTACGTTACAATCGTAAATCTAGACTTTACCTTCGATTCTTTCCTCGTAGCCTTTAGTGAAGAACAGCATCGCCTTCGCGGCTCTCTCCGGCGTCTTGTACAGACCTTCTCGCTTCGGGTCCTCTCCGAGGCTAGTGAGGAGATTTTCGAACGCCTTCGTCATTGGTGGTACGCGGTTGAGGCGCGGGCCGGTGTGAATCGCTCGCGGGATGTCGAGAGAGATCTTTCGCGACGGTACTGTCTTCACCTGCAGCTTGTCGTTGTCGCTGCTGCTGCCGTTGGTGTTTTTGCTGCCGCTGTTGTTATTGTTGTTGTGGCTGCCGTCGTGTCTGTCGTCGTCAACGACGCTGCCGTTCGCGACGGCTTCCTCGGATTCGGACAGCGACGGATAGTTCGCACTCATCATGATGTCAGTGCGGGTGCTATATACGTATAGATATGTATACGCAGATATATAAATAAATAATATATATGTATATATATATAGCCTATACGTAGTGGTATATATATATATGTGTGCGCGCAAAGAGATATATACGCCAAAATATATACACAGAGATAATATACGCGAAGATATATACGCAGAGATGTATCTACGTAGCGTAGACGGCGAGTGGGGTTACGATGGCGCGCGCGCTGTGCGGTGTTGTCACTACGCGACGTTCTCCGTGTCTGCTGCTACTGCTCTGTTGCACCTGCGTGCGCGCCGCCGCCTTCTATAACCACGTTATACCGGCGGACCACGCGATTGGTCGAGACAGCTCGCAGGCGGTGCTGCGTCGACTATTAGGGTTGGCGAGAGGGTCGTAAGAGTCACTAGCGACGTCGTAGATTTAGAGCAGAGCTCCGTTCTGAATCGACACTCGCGGTAGCCCACTGACGTCATCGTCTCGCGTGCAACGCGGCGAGAGTACGTGCTAATTGATGTATTATTACTCTCGCGTTCAAATGTAATTAATAAACCGTGGGAGTGGTGACCATTTATAGTAGTGGCGAAGTATAAGTATTTTAAGTATATGGCGAATAGGAATGTACAGATTAGCTATAAAGGAGATGTGGTATGAGTGTAGAAAATATAAACACACTCCTAGTACAATGGTAGAGTCGACCGTACGAAATGTTTCACGAAAGACAAAAAATGTAATTTCTCATCTTAAAGATTCTATGGGTGGTACCTGTGCCTGCGTGTGTTCGTGCATTTATAGGGAAGAATCCTCCATATATATGTCAAATATCACATATATATGTATCCGTCAGCAGTTATATAGATGGAGAAAGGAAAAGAAAGTGACAGACAGACAAAAGAGAAATGGTAGTAAATGGAACAGGAAACAACAGCAGACCTTTTTAAGTTTCATCTGTTTCGAATAATTTGAAATCTGTTAGCCACAAGGCAGAAGCAATAAGGGGTCCATAAGTAGGTAACCTAGATGAATAGGATCTACGAATTATGACGTTTTCTGTCAACAGGTGGCGTTGCATTTGTGTGTGTGTGTGTGTGTGTGTGTGTGTGTGTGTGTCCGCTCGCAATTGCTTCCTGTGACGACGATAGCATACGCTGGCATACACGCGCGTGCAAGTTTTCGCGGCACCAGAATACACACACAGACTTTATCGGCGCGCTATTATGTTCGTCATTATTGCGAAATGCGTTCTGCTGCGTCGCGGAGTGTGCGCCCCCATTTATGCTCATTTACTTTCAAATAATTCCGAGTTTATAGCGCAACCGAAATTCGAGCTACCTACTTGGCATACGCCACGATAGGAACGTAATTAAATTTTCCTGCCGGTACACGATTTCGCTCTATCAGCGTTTCCTTTGCTCTTGCCTTCCGCGTGACACACTATACAGCTTACAGCTCGAGACGCTAAGACTAGCCCGTGGCCTTCACGGCAACCTTGTGTTTATAGCTCACCGTGGCTGAGCGGAATAGGCGACGATGGCTCGCGTCCACGTTGACAAACAGGTGTGGATGTGCGCTGTCTTTCTACGCGTCATTACTAACGCGTCCTCCCTGACAGGGAGTCGACGATGGCAGATATTCCTGTTTTCCCTTCTCCGTCACTGTAATCGCCACAACAAATCCCCAGTCGTTGTTCACGATTCCTTAATTATGATTACCGCGAGAGACACTAATGTACAGCGCTTATACGCGTGCGTTCGCCCCGGTATATCATAGGATATACCGTCTGCGGGATATCTATGCAGATTAGCTAGCAATATTAACACGAACTTTCATTATGATTATATATGCGTGTCGATGTTTGCTGTACGATTGATTTCTGAATATTCGGTATCTGCGAACGGGATGTCAGACAGACGTTGTAATTAAACGTGTGTAGGTATAAATCACGGCACTGTACACTAAACAAACGAGTGGAGGAAATCGATTGAATGTGTAATAATTATGAAAAAATCAGCGTAGTTTACGTCAGAGTAGCGTGTCAACCAAAGGTCACCGGATTGCATCATACGAGGAGTACATAATAGCCTAGCCCTAGCTGCTACTATCACTATTATTTACGCTGATAGGGTCTATGTCCCCCAGGGTAGGGGGCCTACTGCCGGAACGTACCCTGGGTACGGTCCGGTATACCGGAACGTACCCTGGTACTAAATACTACTATCTAATATGCCGGACCGTACCTCGCCTACTCCACTAACGAGTCTAGGGAGTCGCCTACGCCTACTCCCTAACCCTAACGTTGGGGGACATAGACCCTATCAGCATTATTTACTCCTCATCATACTACATACGCTATTGTTTATTAAGAAAACAAACCCTATCGAGACACGACTTGTGCCAACCTGCATGCAAGTGGGTTCCCGTCAGTGACAATGATTATGGTGACATCAGGAGTGTTTAATATATATTATAATCTAGTGTAATAGTGTATAATCTATATTAAACATTAATTCCTGGCGATGCTATGTCTTTTTATTTAAGCGGCAGATCCTGTATTATAAACCCATTATATTTCCCACACGTGATGGAGCGGTGATGGTATATACAAACCCGGAGCTCCCGGTAATACTAAAATAATTCATGACGGCACCTACTAAAAAGGGGTGTGTTTCATCAATCAATAGAACGTTCTGCCTCGAGAATGCAGCTCGTGTGGTAGCGCACCACCGCGTATGCGATGTATGCGTGTAACCATATCGTCACGCCGAGCATTCTTGAGCGTGTCGGTGATTATGGCCGGTGGACATACACGCGAGGTTCTTCTTCTTCTTCTTCTTCTTTTTATTATTATTCTTATTATTGTTATTCTTATTCTTATAATATTTAAACTCCTACTACTACTGTATTTGAGCTGTGGGACAGACAGGTCCATGCATACCTTGACCACCAGCACCTGCAGGATTTCATGGGGGTCGTGGCAGGGGTACGTGTGCGAGAGTTCACGGCTCCTCCGTGTAGCCACGCCTACACGGCTTGGATGATGATGATGATGATGATGATGATGATGATGATGATGATGATGATGATAATGATAATGATGATTATGATGATGACTTAAAATAATAACAAAAACTAAACGGTTTGGAGCCTAGGGGCCGTTGTCTGAAACATCGTAAAGATACATCGTGCTGATGTTGATATTAAGATAGCACTAACGACTAATACGTTACGAAGTTAATGTTAAGACTAATGTTAAGACCCCCTGATATGAAACATTCTCACAAGCCTTCCACACATTTTTCCAAGCGCCGTAGTTCGAAGGAAAATTGTGATATATATGTACTATTGGTATATCTGTTTATACTATATATATATATATATATATATAAGTAAAGTCACACACGAACACCCGGTTAGATAAAAACAAAGTCAAGGTATAGAATAAGAGTGTTTAAAATTTAATTGACAAGCTTTCGAGATTACATCTGCCTGACTGATGGAAGACCTGTATGATTCGCCACTGTTACGCGCGGAAGTGAGTGAATATAGCTTTGAAAACGTAATTCCATTCATACCGTATTCGTGTGCCAACTCTCTTGACGCTGACGCTGTATTTGTTTAAGCCTCGTCTAGGCATAACGTATCGCCGAACGCCGTGTACGATTCGCGATAAGAGAACTTGTAGAAGAAGTACTTGTCAAATTCTACAGAGGTTCGGAGGTTCTTTCGGTCGAAGTTTACTTTCTACATCGAGGGTTTACCGTTTCCTTATTGTTTTCATACTGTAAAGGCGGATCAACTTGTGGAGTCATTACCTACCTAAACACTGCATGCAAGATCATGGCTTCAAGCTTGCGACAGGTATACCGTATATACAGTAAGCCTAAATCGAACTGACGGAATGTAAAAAAGCGTCACTTGCCTACGGGCACGCTGGAAAAATAGTGATTTCCTGAAAAAAACTACAGCGTCTTGTTTGACGTGTGTGCCGCCTCCATGATCTACAATCAGCCTTCATGATTACGATGCACGCAGGGGGTAAATATATTATTGAAATTTAGTGTATCGCCGACTTGTCTTGACACCGCTGTTCATGCCAAAATATAGTTTTAGTTGTAAGCATTTACTTATTGCAACGTATCGCCTTCGCATTTTAAAAGGCCTAGTATATATATATATATATCGATAAAAAACAAAGTCAAGTGTATACGAATAAGGCGTTGTTTAAATTTCTAATTACAAGCTTTCGAGATACAATCTCGTTTCATCCGCTCAGCCCGACATTGAATAAGAACCGTCAATAAAAAACAATGCGTTATAGATTAATGAAAAGGAGGAATAATTCAACAAATCGTAGCTGCGTTAGCCAATGAACAACGGATGACGAATAAGAACACACAGATTCACACACACCACACACACACACACACACACACACACACACACACACAACACACACACACACACACACACACACACCACGCGCGCGCGGCACGCACGCACGCACGCACGCACGCACGCACGCACGCACCGCACGCACCACGCACGCACGCACGCACGCACGCATACACCACACACACACACAACACACACACACACACACACACACACACACACACACTATAAAAATAGGTATTATTAGCTCGCTATAATATATATACGTAATGTTGCACGAAAATAAGTCGGCGACCTTGGTGTTAAAGAAGTATCTGCTCTGCTGTCCCCCTGTTTGAGATTAACAACACTGGCCTCCGAGAACTCTGCGACCTGCATGTAGATCAGTGGGTGAAAACTGTTTGACAGTCGCGACGTTGTTTGTAAATACGCCGTGTATGTTGATGACGGACGTAATTTTAACCGTGAAATAATTCGAAAAGCGGCAAAAGGAGAGGTATGCAGTATAACAAATGCAACTCATGACACCTGTTCTATGAGGCTGTGATCGCATGTGTATGTTTATCGCATAATAAAATGATGAATCGCCATATAATTATATCATATCGATATAGGACATGCACCGTGCAATACACACAGCATATTATCTGCCCTAGTATTTATGTATGATAGCTCATATCTCTCTCTCTCTCTCTCTCTCTTCTCCTCTCTCTCTCTCCTCTCTCTCTTCTCTCTCCTCTCCCTCTCTCTCAACCCATCTATCCTATCAATCGATCATAATATTCTAGCTGCATATATATATATATCTATATATATCAAGGCCGTAGGCTGAGCAAATTCTTAGGCGGGGGGCAAATTTCGAATGACTCGGAATGTAATGATGAGGGACGGGCTCAGCTCTTGATCGACGTCCGATATATAGTGGATAGGGGTGGGTATGAGACAAGGCTTCACGGAATAAGTGACCAAAAAAATCACGTTAGGGTATTTATGATTATAAGCTAAGCTTATTTTTTAATTTGCCTTCAAAATCTAAGGGCAGTTGCCCCCATTGCCCCTCCCCCCCCCCACACCACAGAGCCCGAGAGGCTACGGCCCTGTATATTGCGCTTGCTCGCTTACCCTCCCTTATCTATCTGACGTATTTATTTCTTCCGATCGTTTACGTTACAATCGTAAATCTAGACCTTACCTTCGATTCTTTCCTCGTAGCTTTAGTGAAGAACAGCATCGCCTTCGCGGCTCTCTCCGGCGTCTTTTACAGACCCTCTCGCTTCGCGTCCTCTCGAGGCTAGTGAGGAGATTTCGAAGCGCCTTCGTCATTGGTGCGGTACGCGCGGTTGAGGCGCGGGCGGTGTGCAATCGCTCGCGCGGATTCGAGAGAGATCTTTCGCGACGGTATGTCTTCACCTGCAGCTTGTCGTTGTCGCTGCTGCTGCCGTTGTGTTTTTGCTGCCGCTGTTGTTATTTGTTGTTGTGGCTGCCGTCGTGTCTGTCGTCGTCAACGACGCTGCCGTTCGCGACGGCTTCCTCGGATTCGGACAGCGACGATAGTTCGCACCTCATCATGATGTCAGTGCGGGTGCTACTATACGTATAGATATGGTTACCGCAGATATATAAATTAAATAATATATATGTATATATATATAGCGTATACGTAGTGGTATATATATATGTGTGTGCGCGCAAAAAGATATATACGCCAAAATATATACACAGAGATAATATACGCGAAGATATATACGCAGAGATGTATCTACGTAGCGTAGACGGCGAGTGCGGGTACGATGGCGCGCGCGCTGTGCGGTGTTGTCACTACGCCGACGTTCTCCGTGTCTGCTGCTACTGCTCTGATGCACCTGCGTCGCGCCGCCGCCGCTTCTATAACCACGTTATACCGGCGGGACCACGCGATTGGTCGAGACAGCTCGCAGGCGGTGCCTGCGTCGACTATTCGGCGTTGGCCGAGGAGTCGTAAGAGTCACTAGCGACGTCGTCAGATTTAGAGCAGAGCTCCCGTTCTGAATCGACACTCGCGGATGCCCACTGACGTCAATCGTCCGCGTGCAACGCGGCGAGATACGTCTAATTGATGTATTATTACTCTCGCGTTCAAATGTATTAATAAACCGTGGCAGTGCGGACCATTTATAGTAGTGGCGAAGTATAAGTATTTTAAGTATATGGCGAATTAGAATGACAGATTAGCTATAAAGGAGATGTGTATGAGTGTAGAAAAAATATAGACACACTCCTATACAATGTAGAGTCGACCGCTACGAAATGTTTCACGAAAGCACAAAAAAAATGTAATTTCTCATCTTAAAGATTCTATGGGTGGTACCTGTGCTGCGTGTGTTCGTGCATTTATAGGGAAGAATCCTCCCATATATATGTCAAATATCAATATATATGTACCGTCAGCATTATATAGATGGGAGAAAGGAAAAGAAGTGACAGACAGACAAAGAGAAATGGTAGTAAATGGAACAGGAAAATAAAGCAGACCTTTTTAAGTTTCATCTGTTTTCGAATAATTTGAAATCTGTTAGCCACAAGAGACGCAATGAGGGGTCCATAAGTAGTAACGCTAAATGAATAGGACCTACGGATTATGACGTTTTCTGTCAACAGGTGGCGGTGCAGTAGTTGCTATCTTTCTAGCAAGCTGTATAATAAAAATTAATATATATAAATAATATAATATACCTATACATAATACATATATATGTAGATATATACCATACATGCTGTATATAGCTTCCTTGTTACTAGGGAGTGTCAAGATAAATAAAAACACATTAAGGTTGAATTATAAAAAACGTTCTTTTTCACATATACAGGCCAGTTCATGTAAGCAACATGCTCACACTCACAGCCAATTTTACAATATCAAACGTGTGCAGCGTGACACCTACACAACGACCATACATTATACACCCTCGTAACAAACAGTTTAGTAATCACAGATAAGCTATAACTGTCTCAATATTAAACAAATGACTACATTGTAATGTACGAACAATAAATTAATAAACAACACACATTATGTTACCGTATTTTTCTCTACATGTGGAATGTATCGTGTGGGTTTATGAAAATAGAAGTAGCTTGCTAGGAGAGTAACCGCGGACATAGTCATTGATCAGAGGGTACTCGTTTAGGTGACGTTTTCCTGTTAATCGAATGACAATAATAGATGTTTTGGCAACATGAGAGCATTTGGATGTCCTTTCCCATCACATCAAAAAATACTGTACTTCACACAGTTTAACCCATGTTTCACAAAATACACCACAGTAGCTAACCACTCTTGCCACACACATGCTGGACGGAATTACACTCAAGAAATAGAATTTCACATAAATTTGAAAGGAAATGTACGTGTCACTACAGCAAAATAATCTGTTAACCATAAAGCAATCGATCAGGCATCACGAAGGCAAACTAACAAACACATTTCGCGTGCGAGGCAAAAAAAAGCTCGGAATTTCGCACATCACCAACACGGCCACATTCGATTATATCCCCCACACTCATCGCTACCCGCACTCGCTGAGCGGCCAGCAATGAACAGCCACGCTATCATCCGTCGAAAAAGCTCAGCGCGCGGCCGACTGGTGCGCCTCGTCGTCGTCGCTCAGGCAGGCCTGCGTGAACTGGTAGACGGCGTTCACGTAGGCCTCGCGGTGCGCGACGAGGTGGCGCACGTGCGGCGAGTCCTCCCAGCACACGGCGCGCACGGGGACGCCGAGCTCGCGGCGACGCTCGACGACGGCCGTCACCGCGCGGTGGTCGATCAGCTCGTCCGCTCGCGAGTAGAGGAACAGCTGCGGCCAGCGCGACGCGTCGTTCTTCATCGCGTCGTAGTAGGTCGTGCGCGCCGGCGGCGCGGCGCCGACGAGCCGCGCGAGGAATCCGGCCAGCTGCACGAGCAGCAGCAGCACGAGCGCCGCGCACGCGTACAGGCACCGCGTAAGGGTGCCGGTGGCGTCGACGCCCGCGTACGCGGCTCGCACGCCCGCGCGCACGCCGAACGCCGACGTGGAGTCGCCCGGCGAGCTGTCGAGCACGCAGCCGACTACGCGTAGCCGCGGCGGCGACGTCTCGTGCAGTATGGCGGCGATCTCGCGGTACACGGCGCCGCCGCCGTTGCTGAACAGGTGGAGGATGATGGGGTTATCATCGAGCGCGAGGTCGGCGACCAGCTCTATGACGCGCTCAGCCAGCGTGCGCACCTTGTGCGGCGTGAACATTAGCAGCTCCATCGACAGTGTGTAGCGGATCGTGATGCACCTGCGAAAGACGCGACATTGCGGTGAGATCACTGTGCAGCATGGGACTCACGTCGCATCGCTGTCAACGAGAAACGATGGCCAGTCACCCTTTAATTTATGCATAGGTGGGAGGTTATTGTGTGGAAATGCTAATTGAATGCATTTTTTTCTTACAACAGGGTAAAAAACGTGGACATGGCATAGTTTAATAGGTAGGTTGTGTGCATGATGTAACACGGTCTGTAGTGAACTCGCCTCGTCGGCAAACGTGACCCAGGAGTCGAGTTTACCTGCCTGGAGGTTGGCCAACTCGGCTTGTGGGTCTAGATGACCTGCCTGGAGCTCGACAGCTCGACTCAAGACTACATGCAGACTAATTGATCGATTAATTATGATTTATTATATAATTATGCTGTACACATAATAAAATGTTATTCCCACAAAAAATGCTACATCATATAGACAGGCAGGTGCAGCTATAAGAATTAAAGAATGACTAAAAGTACCACCAATTGAATACCTAAATAAATACCACACACTTATATTTATAATACATTTTAATAAATTTTTTCTCCATGATGTAGAAGACTGTTTTCAGTACATGTATTTGTATTATATGCAATAAATTATATTATATTATATTAAATTATAATTATATTGTATTATATGCAATAATATTAATAATAATACTAATACTATTAGACGTTTCAATGTCAGGGCGTGTGAAAGATCTCAAATTTGTTAGCCTGTAAGTCGAGCTGCCTCAGTGCCTGATAGGCCTAGTGATACCCAGGTATAGTCATCTCAAACCACAAGCCGAGCTGGCAGATCAAGGATAGTTTGGGACCCCACAAATGTGTTTAATGTGAGACGAATTGGCAAGGTAACTGCATGGTGCCCATGGCCGTGTAACATGCTACCCTAGAATTTTATTAAGAAGTTAATGAAATCAGAGCCCAAGTCTATAGGCCATAGGCTAGTTTAGAGCTAAATCCTTCCCGCACCTTCATACGCATAGCACATGGTTACATGGCGCATAGGGCGGTGCCTATCTCTGTTTCAGTAACCCTGAGGCCCCGCAGCTGCTTTCACAGTAAATGCTACAGTAAGGGGTTAGTCCACTGGTAGCACTGCGAGTTAACTTGCCACACTCTATCTCTATTTCCTGAATGCTAAGCAGAGAAGCCGTGTGAACCATTTTTCAAGTCTTTGGTATGACCCGACCTTCCACATACGAGGCGAGCACTCAACCACAGGCACTTGAAGCGTTTCAATAAAATATAATGCTAACTAAATACGAAATCTATTTACTACCAAATTCTTAATGTTTCTATACTCTCTTTCACCTATTATTGCCGACAGTTTCCTGTAAATTCCGTCCAAATCCTACGTCCAACCATACGCTGCCGGCGCCATTGCTTTCGCGGCGCGACTGTTGCACGCTTACACTAATATATATACTAGTGTAACTAGTAATATTATTAGTAGTATTAGTAGTGTAACTATAGTAATATTATAGTAAATCTAACTATATATATTAGTGTAAGTGTGCAACAGTCGCGTCGCGAAAGCAATGGCGCCGGCAGCGTATGCCGGTATGGTATGGTTGGACGTAGGATTTGGACGGAATTTACAGGAAACTGTCGGCAATAATAGGTGAAAGAGAGTATAGAAACATTAAGAATTTGGTAGTAAATAAATTTCGTATTTAGTTAGCATTATATTTTATTGAAACGCTTCAAGTGCCTGTGCACTCAACCATTGAGCCATCGCAGTGGTCCTATGGCTATATAGCAGCCCATGATATGATGATATGCGAAAAACCTTGTACCACGTTTTCATGGTCCCAAACTATCCTTGATCCGAAATCATCGGCAGTATAGTAATAAATACATATGTAGCAATTAACACTATCTTTCTGAATCTGAATGTTCAACTTGGCGGAGAGAACTGTGTCAGTGTGGCACGAAGGGTCGTTGTCGTAACAGGTACTACAGATATGTACCCGAGGTAGTTTTAGGTTGTTTAGTATTAATAACTATTATGTTTATATTTTTATACGAGGTATGTTTAGGGTTAGGGTTAGGGTTAGAGTTAGGGTTAGGGTTAGGGTTACTGGTTAGTGTTAGGGTTAGGGTACACTTCTGTAGTACAAGTCTGGTACACTTTGTGTACGACAACAACCCCTTGAGCGTCAGTGTGTGACAGTGTGAGTAAATTGCTGGGGGGGGGGTCAGCTGGTCTTACCTTCGCCGTTCATATATTGCGCTATATTTGGCCAAATGTTTATCGCTGCTCCCAGCCCAGCCTAGCAAAATGACAACAGTTTCTTTGCCGTTTGAGTGCAAAGCAGACTCAAACTCATCGTTCGACACATCAGGCGATGGAAAAGTGATAGAATACTCCAAATCGTCTTCCATTTTAATGCTTTCAGCCTTTCAGTAGTTGTAAACTTGTGCTTGTACTGTAGCAGGCTTTAAGGTACTGGCGCCACCGCTCCGCTAACAATATGTCTAAACTCCACGACAGATGGCGCTCACGCTCTGGCTCAATTCCTGAGGGGGGGGGGCGCTGCATGCAGTTTAGTAGTTTACCGACAGACTACCGTCGCATGTTGTACTTGTGGCTTGTGCACCATTCGCAAGGTTATGGCAAGGTGTACAGGTCAAAGTCAACGTTAGAGAAATGAGAGAAAAGAAATGAACTTGTGAAGAGAAGATTACAAAACTGCGAAATGTCATACAAAGCTAGGTAAATGCCTCATAATAGATTTGTTGGTTGTCTGGGTAGAAACTAAGAAGAGGACATTTTCCAATTCTCAGTTTGAGCGAATATTGTTGAGTGTTGTTGTTGACTTACTACTTAGTCACGCGTGTTAGTAACACTCAGTTACTGTTAGCAGTAGCACTGAGAATATCTTGAGTTATTCGTAGTCTATGGTTTTTAGTTCGTCCAGGCTCCACGACTGTTACACGTAGTGTAAAGCGAGAAGGTAACATGTGATTTGTTGAAGGTGAGCTTGCGGGAGGTGGATTAGTGGATAGTGAATAGATCTTGCCTCAATGAGCACATTCACATGATTGTAGGCGTATCCGGACAACTACCCACTGGACAATTACCCACCGGACAATTACCCACCAGGACAATTACCCACCCGGACGATTACCCACCAGGACGATTACCCACCAGGACAATTAATTACCCACCAGGACAATTACCCACCCGGACGATTACCCACCAGGACGATTACCCACCAGGACA